ATTTATATACAAATAAAAATGTATATCCATGTAAATATATGAATATAAAATATATGAATATAAAATATATGAATATAAAATATATGAATATAAAATATATGAATATAAAATATATGAATATAAAATATATAAATATAAAATATATAAATATAAAATATATAAATACAAATAAAAATATATTTATATATTTATATGTTGGATGTGAGAGCGCTCGAGAGTGAAAGTGTGTGTCAAGTGGGTTTTCAAAATTTGATGTCAAATTTGTGAGCGAGTCTCTTTATATGAATTTGTAATTTAATGATAGAATATAATCTTTATAATTTATTTATAATGATATAGAATATAATCTTTATAATTAATTTATATAATGATATAAAATAAAGAAATTTTTTTATTTTATATCATTATATAAATAAATTATAAAGATTATATTTTGTCATTAAGTTATAATCCATATAAAGAGACCCGCTCACAAATTTGACATCAAATTTTGAAAATTCACTCAACACACTCTTTCATCCTCGAGAGCGCCCTCACATACAACATATAAATATATAAATATAAATATATTTGTATTTGTATTTATATATTTTATATTTATATATTTACATGGATATACATTTTTATTTGTATATAAATATAATTTATGTATAAATTATTATCGGAAAATCCTAGTAGCTTAGTGGTTGGAGTATCAACCTCCGATTCTTAATCCGATAATAATTCATTCTTAAAAAATATAATTAATAATAAAAACATAATATAAAAGGGAGAGGAGACATCTGGATCAATAGATAGGGTAATTAGAGAGGAGTTATGAATAAATAAAATAAATAAAAATATTAGACTTTCTACATCGGTTCCTTACAACCGATGTGGAAAGTCACACTTTCTACATCGGTCTTATCTACATCGGTTCTCAAACCGATGTTAAAAGCCCCTAGGAACCGATGTTAAAAGCCTATTTTCTACTAGTGTACAATGTTTCATTTCGTTAAACATATTACTATATATTTATGTTCTTTTTTATATATAAAAAAAAAGAATAAGTAATGATATTTGGAAGAAAAGTCTTTGAAAGATGAAGTTAAACTTATTATAGAAGCAAATTTTGAGTTTTTAAAATTAATCTTAAATAAGCAATTTGACTTGGGCTAAATTTTCTAAAGTTGAGTAAGAAGACACTGGGGATAGGATTTCTAAGGTTAAGGATGAGAACTCCATACTGCATAAATTCTCAATTTTTAAAACTCAGCATAAGAAAAGTCATAGCTGAGCAAGGATAGTCTAATGTAACTTAAATGAGCTAATTGAAAGAGAATTTTTCAATGCTTTTTTGAATGAGGTCCGTGCATCGTGGCTTAAGCTAGGGGTTTTGGGAGAAGAGAGGCTTCTCATGTAGTGAGAGAATAGTTGGAAAACTTCTCTTATCTTGCATGATTCCTCAATCAATTTCTTCTATTAGTATAAAATTGGACTTTTACGTATGTTATTTTGACTTTTTTACGTTAGAAATAAGTTTGACATTAATACGGAAGACATAAATTTACGTCGGACCCTAGGGGTAGCCGACATAAATTTATGTCAGACCCTGGAGGTAATCAACATAAATTTACGTTGGGTATGTCTCTGTCCGATGTAAATTTTGTTTTTTTTTTTTTGCAGCGAGTCCAAATATCATACAATATAAAACATACAAATAATACAAACATACAATACAAAACAAACAATAACATACAATACAAAAGAAATACACAACAAACTAAAAATGTTGAACGAAAAACCTTATTCTTTGTTCTCTAATCTGTGTAATATCATGTTCTCATAGTGGAGATGGATGAATGTTGAAATACCTGAAATATTAATTATGCCTAATGCCTTTTAGTGCTACATTTTCGGAATCTATCAAATGTATGGTGCAAAATTTACTTTCAAAGATTACCTTAAATCCTTTGTCACATAGTTGACTTATGCTAAGGAGATTATGCTTTAGTCCATCAACAAGAAGCACATCCTTAATCTCCAATGTGTTTGCACCACCTATATTTCCAATTCCAAGAATCTTTCCTTTGTTGTTGTCCCCATAAGTTACATATCCTTGTTCTTTAGCTTTGAAACTCACAAATTTCATTTTATCACCAGTCATATGCTTTGAGCATCCGCTATCAAGATACCACATAGACTTCTTTGATTTGGAAGTTTCCTACAAAACAAGAACATAGTAAACTTAGGTCCCCATAACTTTTGGGTCCTTGGGGTTAGAGATAAACAAGTTATTTAACAATAGGAACCCAATTGTATTTTCCTTTAGGAACACCAAAATGTTTTATTTTACATCTATTTGAAGTATGACCTTGTTTCATACAATAAAAACATGCTTTAGATGTAGCTTTTGAATATGATGTATTTCTAACAATAGATGCTCTAGTTCTTTTTTCTACCCATACTCTTTTATTTTTAATCTTAGGCTTTTTCAAAGGAACATGATGGTTTACTTTATTTTGAGCAACAACAACTTTATCTTTCTTAATGTCACATATCTCCTTTTCGGATTTATCTAGCAAATGGTTAAGTATATCTATGTCATATTCATACTCTTTACAAGATGCACATGCTAAGTTCTTATCATCATTCTCATCTAAGCATACAATTTTCGTTTCTAAGGTTTCCTTTTCCTCTAAACATGAAATTTTCGTTTTTAATGAATTAACCTCCTTTTCGGATCTACTTAAACTCTTTTTCACAGATTTATATTCATTTTTCAAGTCGTTAAAGGCACTAAACAATTCATTATATGTATTTTGCAGTTCATCAAATTTATTTTCATCATCATTAGAAGATGAGTCGGAATCACTTACCTCAAAGTCGGAAGATATGTTGTCATTTTCCATTAAGCAAATATTGGCTTCAACTTCCGAGTCACTTGATTCCGAACTTGAATCACTGTTGTCCCAAGCAATGTAGGCTTTCTTCTTGAAGAACTTTTTGCCTTTGTTTTCTTCATTTTTCTTGTTTGGACATTCGGTCTTCACATGTCCTGTTTCACCACAACCATAACATTTGATATTACAGAAGTATTTTCTCTTACCTTTCCTTTACCTTTGAATGGATGTCTTCCTTTGGCTTTCATGAATTTTGTGAACTTATTTATCATAAGACTCAATTCTTCTTCTTCATTCTTCGAGTCTTCTTCTTCCTTTTTATTCTTACCTTTGGAAATTTCTGTTTTGAAGGCTAAGTTCCTCTTTTGATATTGACCTTCCTCATCATTTAGCCTTCCTAGCTCTAGCTCATGCTCTCTCAACTTTCCAAAGAGCACCACCATAGACATTGTGGCAAGGTTTTGTGACTCCGAGATGGTCGTCACCTTAGGTTGCCATTTCCTATCCAAAGATTTTAACATTTTAACATTTAATTCATCAACGTCAACAATTTTACCTAATCCGGTGAGATGGTTCACAATATGAGTGAAACGCTTTTGAACGACAAATATCGTTTCGCCTTGATGCATCCGGAACATCTCGTATTCTTGGATTAGGGAATTTTTCCATGCTCTCTTAACGTCGTCAGTACCTTCGTGGGTCACTCGTAGCATTTCCCACATCTCTTGAGCACTCTTACAAATAGAGATCCTGTAAAACTCGTCAAGGGTTAAAGCAGATGAAATAATATTTCTAGCCCTAATGTCAAACTGAGCTTTTTTGTTTTCCTCTATTGTCAATCTAGAAAAAGGTTTAGGAATATCTACTCCGTTCTCAGTAACTTTAGGAATATAGGGACCATTTAAAGTAGCGTCCCAAACGCCTCAATCAACAGACACTAAAAAGATTTGCATTCTAACTTTCCAAAATGGATAATTTTGACCCGCAAAAAGTGGGGGTCTATTGATAGACGCACATTCAGCAAAAGTTTGATTTTGTCCGGCCATTTTCAAAAAATTTGATTGACTATCAAAGCAAGCTCTGATACCACTTGTTGGAATCGCGCAGCGGAATGTTCGCGTTGTCGGACAAAAACCAAGAGGGGGGGTGAATTGGTTTCTTAACAAAAATTAGATTTTAAAAATTTCCCCAAATTTTACCGATTAAAATGTTGTGTAAACGTAAATAAGATAGAGATAGAGTCTTACACAGGAGATTTATACTGGTTCGGATCAAAAGACCCTACGTCCAGTTGCTAATCACTCAAACAGAGGATTAACGCTGTCACTATAATCAAAGTTGTTACAAGCAGATAACAATGGAAAAGATAAAGTAATGAAAACACCTCTCTTGAGTCCCACAAGAGATGAAGAACAGATTTCCCTAGAGATGGCACAACACACAATCCACTAAAAACTCCACTTAGTGATTCTTATCGCTTCTAGCCCACACCAAGTTCCAAAAGCCCCTTTTTCCTCCAACAAATAGTTCTCTGGTAATCACAGCTCTTAACTTTTGTTTGAAAAAGGTTGTTCAATTTTCTGAGAGCCTTAGAGAACCTTAAGTAGATGAATTAGGGTTTGGGAATTGGGGATTTTCGGAACTTGGAGTATTGGGATTAGGGTTTTCGAAAATAGGTTTAATTTGAAGTTCAAAATCCAAATCTGACTGAAATAATCGATTAAATCAAGTGTTAATCGATTATTACAAAGCTAAAATTAACAAAACCCCAAAACGCACTGGTTTAATCGATTATTTACCCTGTTAATCGATTATTACAGTGAACAAATACAAAAAATGGTTTTTCTCACTGTAATAATCGATTATGTGATGATTTAATCGATTAAACCCAAGGCTTTTTGATAAATATGAGTTTTTGAAGCTTTTAAAGAGTAGACTATGTACCGGCTATCTTAGACTCTAATATTACACACTCAAACTCATCAAAACAGAGTTATTACACATTAATATAAGTCTTCAACACTCTAAGTTCTTTGTTCTTGAATCATCATCAAAATTAACAAGTTTCATGTCCATGTAAGTTCAACATCAAGTCCTTGTATGTTCAACACCTCTAGCTTAAACTGTCGCGGTTTCATCTTCCCCAAGTAGACACTGCGCCTCCACCAAAGCCACCGCGTGGCCACCTCGAGAGCCACCCTGGAACCTCCACCTTGTGCCCTAGCCCCTGCACCTCATTCGCAGCACCACCAATCGTAGCCTACCTCCTTCACCAGAACCCTAGCCACTTATTTTCGCCCATCATGCAGATAATAGAAGGCACCAGGAGCCTAGGCGAACCTCTAGCTAACATCAGCAACCAATGCCCCCCCCCCGCTAGTGGTTGTCACGAGCTCCACTATGGAACCATCATGCCTTCTTCATGCTCAACCTGCGTCCCTCACTCTGACACCTTTACCGGAACCACCGCGAATCACCCATGGCTTCGGTCGCGCCCCGCAGACTTCTTCATCCTCAAACCTAGATCCGTGTGTCGTAGCCCTAGCCCCTCCGCACCTCCACTCCCCCTGCTCTGAATCCGCTAGCCACCACGGGTCTTGGCCTCACCAACCAGCACACGTCTTTGAACACCACCACGTTCAGGTCACCGTGCCACCAAAATTTGTTCATTGTGTTTGGTTTGGTTTCACCATTCTGCAGGTTGGTTCTACTAGTTATGTTGGTTTTGATAGATGTTCTTTAGGTCTTGAGACTAGTTTGATGTTGTCCTAGTTCTTATGGCTTTGTCTGGTTTTGTCCAAGCCTGCATTTTTGTGTGATATCTCGATTAGGACAGTTTTTGTTTCACATTTTATTTATCTAGTACTGTTGGATCGACTGTAGATGGTCCTGCTATTCCTATTGACTTTCTTACTTTGTTTTTGTTTATGGTGGCCTCTGTTAGTCTCATGTTTGTCTCGGGCCAGGCCAGGGTTTTGTTTAGATGTTAAATAGGCTTGGTGATGGAACATATTTTATTGCATAAATACATATCATTATGGCCCTAATTACTCTCACATTTAGACTTAATTTTGTGGTAGTATGATGTTTGTTAACTATAATTTGAATTATGGACTTAATTGCAAAACTAATTAATTTTCGTATTTATTGGCAGTTTGACCTTTGTTCAGTAATAAAGTCATATCTAGAGCTATAGAACTCCAAATTGAGAAATTCAAAGTGCGTTGTAAAGCTAAGAGACAAAACTACAAATATCTCTCTCACGTGCATTGTCCAAATCTAACTGGAAGCTTCCCTATAGGTGTCCGGATTTACGTTTTGGGCTCATTTGTCTTTAGTTGATCCAATGGAGTGAGTGGATCAAAATTGTTATGAGCCCAGTTGGAGAAACCTAGGTTAAATAGCCCTGTAGAGAAAGAATAAAGAGAGATGAGGTTTTACGTAGAGAATAAATGGATGGAGGTAGCATCGACACTAGGGTTTTATGTAGAGTTTTATTTTGGTTTGTTCTGCACTTTGCTCAATTTCAATTATAAATTTCGTTGTACAATTTGTTTTCAATTCTGCAGTTCAGGTTCAATTTCAAATTCCAATTGCAATTTCCATTTTGCACGTATTCAGTTTTCTGAATTTTCAATTTCAATTTCTGGCTGTAATTTAAATTTCGGTAATTCAGTATTCAAATTCAATTTCTTAATTTAATTACATTCGAATTTCGTAATTAAATTCCAATTTCTTATTATTGTGATAATTAAGTGTTGATGGATAGCTAAACCTTTGTATTGATTTTCTATGGAGAATGCAAATAGATCTTTGAGGTTTTGTTCTTCAATTTCATTTTGTTTGTTCTCTTAACTCTTCATTTTCTAATCTCAATGTTGAATTATAATCTGTTTATGCTTAATAAACCGAAACTAATATCACAGTTTGCTTAATTCTGTGTTAGAGATGAGATTATGTGATGTATGCAATGCTTAATTGTATAAGGATAATTTGGGGTTAATCTTCGCTTAGTTGGTTAATTTCATATTGGAATAAGGGTTAAAGCTAATTTGGGATTAATCTTCGTTTAGTTGATTAATTTTGGATTGGAATATAATTTGAGATTTATCTTTGCTTAGTTGGTTAACTTCAAATTAATTTCGTAATCTAGGATAAGTAACACTGCATTGGAATAAGGAAATTAATTGCATTCTAATCTGTTCTTAATCTGCATTTTTATAATCTACTTTTGTTCTATTTCATCTAATATTTTAAATCTGAAAAATCCCCCCTTTTATTTCTATTCTAATTCGAAAAATTGACTAGCTTTGATAAGAATCCGTGGTCTTTGGGAGGCGACCTAGGAAAACTTCCTAGTACTACATTTATCTATATTAATTATTTGACCGAGTACGACATCAATCAAATTTGGCGTCGTTGCTAGGGACCAAGATTTTTGTCTAGGTTTTCAATTTTCATTTTCTCGTTTCTATTTTCATTTTCTTTTTTTTGTTTTTTGTTTTTTTTGTTTTTATTTTCTATTTTTATTTTCTCGTTTCAATTTTCGTTTTTTGATTTTGTTTTTATTTTCTATTTCTGTTTTCATTTTTTATTTTAATTTTCTATTTTAATTTTCATTTCCTGTTTTTATTTTTTGTTTCTATTTTCATTTTTTGTTTTCGTTTTCTATTTTTTGTTGACTATATAAAATCGCTACATCGTTCTCCCCGTCTAAGCGATTATAAGAGATTATAAGCGATTAGTGCGTAGATTTCGATTATCTGATCAATTCTGATAATTTCTCTGTTTGAAATTCAAACAAATCAAATTTTACCTTGTTGCTTGTTAATCGATTATTTCTAATTCTGACCGATTATTTTTACATTCTAATCGATTATTTTGTGCATTTTTGTTAAAAAAAAAAAGAGAGTTATTATAATTTGTTCTTGTGTGCTTCCTAAATCAATCTTGCATGAAAATTCTTGAAAACCATTCTCATAGGAAACTCTGGATATAGCTTGGTAATGTGAGAGTGCATGTGTAGGAGGGTTTTGGCTTGGAAAGACTTGGTACTTAAGTGTGTCCATTAGTGACCCACCTCTCTTTCCTGGGAACCTACCTGGTGTATTTGTTCACGGTCTACCATTGTCATTCTAGTAAACAAGTGATTTTGAGGATATGAACTTTGAAAGAAAATTGGATGAGCTAACATCTGTGGTACGATAATTGGCCATAAACTAGCACACATTTCAACAGCAACAATATGTTTGTGGGATATGCACCTCCGTATATCATCCCACTGATGTATGCCCTTAACTTCAGGAGACATCAAACTTAATTAGTGAAATAGTGGGCAGTATATTCCCTAAACAACAACATTATGGGAAATTATATTCATACAGTCCACAATAGGAGTACTACCCATACTTGGACACATATAATTTTGGCTGAAGAGACCATCCAAACTTGAAATATGATCCTGTCTTCAACCAGCCACCAAAGATGCATTTTCAATCAGTCAGCCAAGGCATTTACCAACAACAAGAGTATCAACCTTCCTCATCGGGGCAATTGGAGAATCCACACCTTATGCTAATACATCAAAGCCCAAGTGGTATTATGCAAAGAAGATCTGATGAAGCAATTCAGACAACAAATGATAACACAGAACACACAACTAGAGCAATGCTTCAATGACTTGGAAACCCAAGTTGGGAAAGTGGTCACTACTGTGAATTCACTATAGCAGCAAGGTGTGTATGCACTTCCCTCACAAACAATAATTAATCCTAATGAGAATGTACGTGCAATTACTCTGAGAAGTGACCAAGAAGTTCAAATAGAGCAGAAGAACCTGACACATCTTTGCTCAATGAGGGAGAGTTATTCTTAACAGATGCCTGCTTAGATGAAGGTCAAGAGGATGAAGAGCTAGATGTAGGAGTTAATTTTGACCTTGATAAGCCCTTATAATCTCTGAATTTAAGCCAAGAAGAGTTGCCTGAATGTGATTGTACGAATGGAAATTGTGTCATCTGTAAGAAGATTAGTGATAATATTGAATCTTTTGTTGGAGCACAGACAGCTGCTAAAGCAAGTGAAGTAAGTACACCACAACAGAAACCGGAGGAGTTAGATCTGAAACCACTTCCATCCCATTCAAAGTATGCTTATTTAGAGGAGTTTGAAAAGCTACGTGTGATTATATCTAGTGATCTCCTCCTTGATCAAGAAGGAAGATTGTTGAAGGGGTTAAAAGAGCGCAATAAAACATCTGGTTGGTCCTTAGATGTCCTCACTAGGATCAACCCTACTATTTGCATGCACAAAATCTTGCTGGAAGATGATTGCAGACTTGTGAGGAAGCCCCAACGAAAGATGAATCCTACCATCCTTGATGAGGTGAAAAAGAAGGTGACATTGACTCTTTCCAGCTTAATGAAGAAGAAGACTTTCTTTGTTTTAGTTGAACAAAGTTGCTACTTGATGGCCTCAACACTTGTACCATCTGAGGAGATAGATCCGGGACCCACCATGATCAGGAAAACTTTGTTTGTTTTAGTTGAACAAAGTTGCTACTTGATAGCCTCAACACCTGTACCATCTGAGGAGATAGATCTGGGACACACTATGATCAAGGAGTTCTTCTTTCCTGTCGCCGCAGTCAAAAGAGGCGGTCGGAGCGACATGATGGTTTTGTTTGACTCACATTTTTAAAAGTGTGGTTGAATGCTTTTTACGTTGTCCGATAATCGGGCTGGACCTAAAAGCGAGGTTTTTGAAAGGTTCGAGGAGTCGCCACCAATGTTTTTACTAGAAACATTGGAAAAGGAAAAGAAGGCAGTGGTTTTTTTAAGAAAAACCAACTTTGGTCATTACAACCAGAGTTAGATAAGGGAGTTAGTTACGTGTAGGGAAGGTATTAGCTTCCCTACGACGCCCATTTCTGGTTCCCTATGATGGACCGTTTTTGATAAAGAAATAATAACTATAAAATTATGCTTTTACCCTTATTTATTCATTACGGAAATTAAGTTATTGACTACATGGCCCTAAATGACTAATGCACAATGATATTATCTAGAAAGCAATAAATAGAGAAGGGAGTATGTAGGAACCTTCAAAGCAAGCTTTTACAGTAAGTTCTTTGAAAGATGGTGCTTTTTGACAATCCCCACGCTCTACAATGATGATCGCTCTTCCTTGCAACCCTATATAACGCTTTCTAAGAACTCTAAGAAACTCTGGAAATGCTTCAGAGGGGTCCTAGGAGAGTAATTCGAATATTTTACAGAAGGAAAAGTGGTAGAATGGTGTGTAAAGAGTGAGAAAGTCTCGCCCTTTTATAGGAATTCACACCTGTTAGGTTGGGACCGCCATCTCGCCAAATGAGACGGTCATCTCGCCTTCGACAAGTGGCGAGATGGCTGTCTCGCCAAACGAGACGGTCGTCTTGCCATTGGCAAGTGGCGAGACGGCGGTCTCGCCCTTAGCCGATGGCGAGATGGCGGTCTCGCTAAACGAGACGGTGGTCTCGCTAAACGAGACGGCGGTCTCGACCCTTTGGGTGGAATCTCTTATTTTTCCTATACAAAAATCCTTCCTATTCTAATATGGGGCCTATTGATCAATTCTAGGGACCTTTTAGGCATTTGTCCATCTTCGAACAGAAGTCTTCTGCTCTTTAT